CAGAATTTTCAAAATTCTTAAACACTATTGTAATTAGCCCAAAGAAGAGGGGCAAAGTGAATTGAGTCAGTTTGCAGAGATGAACCATCCAACTGGCCTTAAATATTGCTGAGCAAAAAAAAAGAGGCCAGTGCTCTATCTCTACACTGGCTCGGATGGTGGCAAATGCACTGTGGGGGTGGTTACAGCAATGGAAACAGAGCAGCTGGCAGCACAGTGGTAAACCCACCTGCAGTGCTGAATTATGGCAAGATATTTCTGCTTGGGTAGAGAAACTGGTTGTGAAAGTATGTCACATAGATGCTCAGGTACCCAACAGTCAGGCCACTGAACAACACCGAAATAGCCAAGCTGCTGAGATTAATGTGGCTCAAGTAGATCTGGGCTGGCAAAGTAAGGGTGAAAAATTTATGGCTCACTGGGCTTGCAGTTCCTCAGGCCATCAGTGAAGGGATGCAACATATAGATGGTTTCATGACTGAGGGGTGGAATCAATCATGGACACATTGCACAAGTTATCAATCAATGTGAAATGTGTTGCAATCAAGCAAGCCAAATGGTTAAAACCTCTTTGGTATGGAGGATGATGGTTAATATATAAATACGGGGAGGCCTGGCAGATTGATTATATCACACTTCCACAAACCTGGCATGGCAAACACTGCATGCTCACAATGGTGGAAGCAACCATTGGATGGCTGGAAACATATGCCATGCCCTGTGCCACCACCCAGTACATCATCCCAGGCCTTGAAAATCAAGTTGTATGGTGACATGGTACCCCAGAAAAGACTGAGTCAGATAACAGGACCCACTTCCAAAATAATGTCATAGACACTTGGACCAAACAACATGGGTATATCGCATCCCATCATGCACCAGCTTCTGGGAAAACTAAGCAGTACAATGGGTTGCTAAAAAATACATTAAGAGCAATGGGTGGTGGAACTTTCAAACACTGGGATACACACTTAGCAAAAGTCACCTGGTTAGTCAAGACTAGAGGATCTGCCAACTAGGCTGGCCCTGCCCAGTCAAACCTTGTAAGTACTGCAGATCATGATAAAGTCCCTGTAGCGTACATTAAAAATATGCTGGGGAAGGCTGCTCCAGGTAAAGGTAAACCCATCTGGGGGATTCCTTTTGCTCAAGGTGCCTGGATGCACTTGGTGGGTGATGCAGAAGGACAGAGAAGCCCGAAGTGTGTCACAAAGGGATTTGATGCTGCGTGAAAATAGCCAATGAATTGAAGTGTATGATGTTAATTGCTCAATAACGCTGTTACTGCATATTATCATCCTTATGGTTAATATACGTTATACTAATGGCATCATATTAAGAATCACTCAGGTTAACAAAAAAGGAACTTTGAAGTCAGGACTAATTTCAACAACTGTCCCCAGCAACTTCCTTGAGCTCAACATCTTCAAGCCTGTAACCATGGACCATGCCAGATACACCAGCTGAGCTCTAACTGTAGCATATGAAAGACTACAGGCCCTCCTCCTGTTGTGTCCAGTGACACCCCTCTCCACTGACTGAGTAAACTCTGCCTGATCCCTCCTGCCTCAAAAGACTGTCATGACATACGGAATCCAAAGTTATGGACTACACCCACTCACTACACATTTTGCAGGGATGGCCCACAGACTAAGGGAATGATATCTGTGTGTATGTAACAAAACAGGAAAAAGTGATGGTGATATTAATTTGAATGTATTGGAAAACATGGAACCTCAGTGTAATAAAAATGGTATGGAGTAACGGGTGGATACTGTCCTGGTTTCAGCTGGGACAGAGCTAACATTTTCTTCTTAGTAACAAGAATAGTGCTGTGTTTTGGATTCAGTAGGGGGTTTGGTATGAGAAGAATGTTGATAATAAACTGATGTTTTCAGTTGCTAAGAAATCAAGGACTTATCAACTTCCCCTGTCCTGCTAGTGCGCAGGTGCACAAGCAGCTGGGATGGAGCACAGCCAGAGCAACAGACCCACACTGGCCCGTGGAATATTCCAGATCACACAACATCATGCTCAGCACAGAGATTAAAGTCAGCTGGGAAGCTCGCTCGCTCTCCCAGGATTGTGGTTTCAGGATTCTCTCTTCTTGGGGATCACTAGCTGGGAATGGGCAGGTGGTGAGCATTACTCATTTGGTATTTTCTATTATAATAGTTATTTCAGTTATTAAAATTGTTTTTTTCATCAACCTGTGAGTCCCCTTCACCTCTCTAATTCTCTGCCCCCTTCCCCAGGGTGGGAGAGGGTGAGCCAGAAGCCGTGTGGTGTTTGGCTGTCAGCCAGGTTTAAACCAGGACAGTAAGAAACACAGCTTTGAATGTAAAATGAAAACAAAAGTACCATAAAAATATCTGTAAGCATAAGAAAGAGTACAGTAATATTAAGTAACATATAGTGTGTTTCACAGTCACTGGAAGTGAGCAACAGAAAATGATGTCCAGAGGAAATCTCATATTTGCACAGCGCATAAAGATACTCACACTACACTGGCAGCCAATAACACTTTACCAAATGTGAAATTTTTTCATAGCTGTAAGAAAAAAAGATGTAAGTGATGCACACCACTGTGCCATTACACCTTTTGATTAAGAACTATCCTGATAAAGGAAAATTGCTGCCCATCACTGCTTCCAAATTTTAAAATTGGAGTAGATTTATTGTAGATTTTTTGACTTTACTGTGAGAACTAGGTGCAAGATAATGCCACAAACAATCTAAGGAAGCAGATGTATCAACATTAAGGTAAAGCAAATCCTATTATCTACTGGTTTTCATTATGACTGATAAGTGGGATATTCTGTTTCTGCATTCTTGATTCTAATTGATCTCCAAGTTAAGAAAAAAAAAAAATAAATCACATATGTTAAAGACAGGACATTGTATCAACAGAACAGTGATCAGAATCCACTATTTTGAACTATATACCAACACTTAATTTTTAATTCTGCTGATCTGTTTAAGTTGCTCTGTTCTGGAACACTGGAATACATATTTTGAAGTTCTCAAACCCAATTCTGTGGTTGAAGTCTGTTCTTGAGAAATTCTTGAGAAATAACGTGGAAGAAATATCCTTTAAGATAGACTAGAAGGCTGCCCTAAAAGATGCCACAAATCTAAATAGAATTCCCCATACATTATTAAATTAGCCAACAACAACAACAACGCCACCCCAGAGTTCAAAATAAGACATGAGTACACTAATCTGGTACTTCACAAGCTCAGCATTTCTTCCCTTATGCCTTCAAAATTCACTAATAATACGTAGGGCAGATTGGTGTTTTAAATTTTGAATTCCTCAAAGACAGGGAAAAAAAATGTTAATATGAAAACTTGCAAATATTAAAATTGGAAAGAAACAGAAAGATTATTAATGGAAAATAAGTTTATAGTCTTTATTTGGTCCTTTCATGAAAAATACACTTTAACCTACAAAAAAATTTGCAGAAAATAATTAATTCTATTTTTTAATATTTGTGCCCTTCACACATACATTTATGATTAAAACTTTCTGAAAAACAAAAGCACTTATTATGCTTCAGGTTTTAACATTTAACTCCTGATACAGGATAATTTGTTATTTTCTCTTGATCAGAATAGGCCTATTATTATGAAGTTGATCTAGCAGTTGCCAGTTGGGCACTATGCCCAAAACTCCTAATAAATTTCTAATTAATGTCAAGGGCATTACAAGTACAGACACTTGAAGGAAAAAAAAAAATAATAAAAAAAAAATCAGATCTACTTCAAGATCATTTGTAAGAGTCATGCACAACCTATGTTTTATTTCCATTAGCAATTCCTCCACTTGTAGCTGTGCCAGTCAGCACATTTATAGCACGTCTAGTCTGCAAGTATTTTTACCAAAACCATAAAAAACCCACTCCAAAATTACAACAGCAATAAGAAAAGGATTATAACTACACAAACACTTAGCCATCTCCAAAAATTCTGCCACTCTAGACTCCAAGAACAATGTCATTATCTGGTCCTATTACGGCCTGTGCCACTGTACAACCTGCAAATTATTGGACAAATGTTATTCAAAGAAGCCACAAACTTTTCACATCACATATATCAGCATCTCATAGTGCCAGCTTCTATCTTCCTTTTTCTATTTTTTTTAAAAAAGCATTCCCATTCCTCTCTGTCAAGCAATTATATAATAAAGCACATACACAGAAAGCAATAAGATGTCAAAACTGTCAGAATAGGGACCCAGAAAATTCACACATTGGTCTGGTATAGCCACAATAACCATATGTTGTTTTAAACAGCTCAATTAAGGAACATTTTCTATCACACGTGTTTTAAATCTATTTTACAAATAAATACTGTATCTGGCCTGCCCTTAATACTCCATGCTGCTTCTGACATACCCATTAAACAAGAATCTTTCTCTTAGACATACAACAGCTAAAACTTTATGCACCACTTGAAACAGAAATGACTGTTTTGTCTCATATTGGGGAAACTGAATAGACACTAAGTGACTTAAGGCCATTCAGAAGCATGAATCAGTCAAGAACTTGGACCCATTCTGCTTTTTCCTGTACAAATTTCAGTCTTCTACAGATATGTAATGGGATATTCTTTTGTAAGATCACCAACAGTAGAAACAACACAGAAATCAATGGGTTCTTAAATTCTTCTGTGACTTCTAAGACTGTGTTACTTTAACTACACCACAACTACTTATGCTAGATAACTATTCTGTAGGTGTGAGTGGTACTATACTCGGTTGACGCAGCATTTTAATTAGTGCAACTTTCCAGAAGTACAATGCTGAAAGTACAAGAGACTTGATACCAAGATTCAAAATAAGATCACACCACCTTTTATTAATTTATTGATTTCTATGACCTCAAGAGTTGCGAAATTTGCTACTGGTTCCCTTTCAAAAAGCAGCAGTTTGGTAAAAGACACAGGAAATGCATGATGACTACACAAGAGATGTAAATAATGAAGTTGTTATATTGTACCTGATTTCCATGAAGATCTAAAACATCAAGATTTTTTAGGTTCTCCAGATTTGAGATCTTCTTTATTCTGCAAGATTTCAATTATGACACAAATTATTTTTCCTATTAGATAAAAAGTATCTTTCATTTTCCAGCTAATACAAAACTTAACCATTTGTTCCCACCTACCAAGAGTACAGAAGAATAACGAAGTTCTGAACCATGTAAAAAAAAAAAAAAATGAATGAGCATGCCTTAGACTATCACCTTCCTTTCAATAATGCAATAGCTGGAGTATGTATGTGGATCTTCTAAGAAGATGAAAAGGGAAGGAATACTTGTACCACTAGAAAACAAAGTCAACAACCAACCTATGCAGATACCTTAATGTTATTTTAATTATTTATGTCAAAGAGCTAATTCCAAGCCAGTTTAAAGAAAGACTGTAGTGACACAGGCTTTTGAGAGTTTGTTAGAAGAACACAGAATAAAAAAAAAAAAGAAAAAAAAGAAAATCCTGAAAGTCACTGGCCCTTTCTTGACAATATAGATCTCTAGATTTGGCAGTACTTCTCTCCCTGTACAACTTCACTGTCTTAAAACTTTTATATCCTGTCCTCAGATTCCAAACCTATGTTATTGTATACTCCACAGCATCATCTACTGGCTGATGATATTAAACATCACAGGGATTATGCGTTTGCTTCGAGAATAATCGAAGATCACACTGAATCCAAGCTGCTAGCAAATGTGTCTGACTTGTAATCATTTATGAGCATGTCTTGTCCTAACTACCTCCAAACCATACTTCTGCAAAAACAAACTATACAGCACTCAATGTAGTTACAATTTAGAAAATAATTCCTTAAAGCACCTTAAAATTATCATTCCTATGCCCTGATATTCCACAGATACTTCTATCAAATTATTAGTATTAAAGCTACAGGGATTTGAACTGTATTTTTAGCAAGTAATACAACTAGCAAGTTGATTCTATTCTGTCAGGAGATACAACAAATAAGCAACAAAATCCATGATTCATATCTGATTTTTTTCCCCCAGCTAAATCCATCAGGCAGAAATAGTTTTTATAGGTTATAAAGAATCAATAAATACTTTCTGTGATGCAAAAAGATATTCCACCTATCACACAAATCTAAGAACACGTATTTAGTCAACCAGAACAGATTATTAGATGGAAACAGGTAAGATACTTCAGAAATGTTGCTAACATTCAGAAAAGAAAGGAAGTTTCTGAAGAACATTATGAGCAAAAACTGTGTGTTTCCTCAGCGGGATCCCTAACACTTAGCTAATGTTAGGGACCAGCTCACTGGTTTCATAGCCAACAGCACAATCTGAAAACTGTCAGTAACAAACAGTGACAGATCACCACTGTTACACCATGAAAAAAGTAGGGTGCTTTAAGTTAGTTTTATTATTTTTACCTGTTCTTTCCCAACAGAAGAACTCTTAGGGATCTCAGTGTTGAAACCCCACTTATTTCCTCTATCTGATTATCATATAAATCTAGGAAAACCAGATGTTGCAGATTAGAAATATTTTGGATCCGGGTTATAAAGTTATGTTGGAAATTCAAAAGGCGAAGATGATCTTCCCCATCAATAACTGGGCACACTGTCAGTTTTTGCCTGGAAGAAAAAAGAAACAAAACAAAACCCACATGTAAGTAACAAAATGGTAATCTACCTTCTACTCACCCACTCTGACTGAACTGAGGAAAGTATATTATCCTGATCAAGGTAATCAAGTTTGCTAATTAAACTCTGTAAATGAGCACTAACTCCTTACTATTAAAAATAAATAGCATGAAAATATAGCTGAGGTGCTTCTAAAATTCTCTGAAAGCTTGTCCTGTTAATCAGAGATTTGCTCGTTACATGGAAACCACATGGAAGTTTCATGTGACCACATTAAAATTTCAACAGATGCAGCCTACCAATTTTTTCATCAGATACCACATAAGCAGCCTGGTTAGGTCAGAATTCAAAGTGTTCTATGCCTATGCAATTTTTCTTTAGTTTATTTGATATGTAAATACATGAGATAGTAAGTGTTAATGTGAAAAGTAAAAGATATAGGAAATTATGCTGAAAATGGTTATTCTCATTATTCCAGGATTCCTACTGACCTGACTAAACTTTTTTGGACTACATTTGGATTTACCCTCGCCAAAAAAAACCCCACAAAAGTTACAATTAAATATCTTTCAGATAAAATATTTTTGTGTCCTGGTTAAGAAAAAACCTAAAAGGCTGTTCTGCAGTTAATGCATCAGGTTATAACTAATGGAGACACAGCCCCTCCCTAAAGATTACATGCATAACCTTGTATTTGACTCTTAAGCAAGCTCCTTAGTTTACAGTGAAAAGCCCTAACAGCCTTAGATGACTGCTGTACAGATATATTAATCACAAGGACACTCATTCAAAATTTCTCTATGGGACACAGTTCTTCTCTCAAACACACACACACACACACACAAATCCCAACAAAACCAAACCCATCACTCATCCCACTGAGCACAGGCATTACTGGGATACTCATCACTTTAGATCATCAGACACAAGAGTTGCAAGCTATGGCGCATGTGCTACATATCCTTCTCACCTTTCCAGGGTAAGTCTATCAGAGCTCAGTATTTTTTCTTCGGCAGTACGTTGCAATACAGGAAATGATATTGATGAACTGCTCCCAAAATTTGTGTTATCTATCAGAAAAATAATACAAAAATTATATGATTTATCATTTCATTAACTACCGATAATAAAAGCAGAATTTTCTTTCTTATTAAAAGTTACACAGTACATGAAAGCGCTTTTTGCCTCCGCTCAGTATACATTGAGCTACCAGTTTTCTTTCCTACCATTTTTTGTTTACAGCTACATCCCTCTACAACCCCCTTCCAGAGTAAATCCTTTTGTTTAATTTCTGAGAGATTTTTATCAACAATTTGTTGTAAGCAGATATTTTGTAGATGCTTTTGTTTTGATTAGAATTACCCAGTGATGCTGTAAGGTATTAGTACAATTGTTTCACAATTTCAGTATCTGAACTTAAAGACATTATCTAACTTTAGATGAACTTATAGACACAGATCAAGTAGATGCTGAAAGAACTAAAAACTAAAGCACTAATACACTGAAACAGTCCCACCGAGCCTCAAAAAAACAAAGTCTTTTAAAGGTAAGTGCATGCAGTATCTAGTAATCATTAGTACTGTATTTTATTCTGTTATCAAGGAAGAAACAGACAGCCCTTTAAAACATATTTACAAAAAGCTATCCATCTTTATCCATTTTGTTAATATAAAGGGAAAGTGGGAAGATGACTAAAAATATCTGCAAAATAAATCAACAAATGTGTTCTGGGAGCTTTGGCTTATTTGGAAATGATCCACTGAAAAATATTGGTCAAAAATAATCATTGTGCATGCATACAACCACGAGAGTATAGGCTCAATTTCTATGTGTTTGCCCCCTTTTTTTTTTTCCCTCTTTTCAAAATAAATCAAGTATGTTAATCAGAAAACCATTAATTCTTCAATAAAGATAACTGTTTTCTACTATAGAGAGTTCATTGTTGTCTAAAATATATAGGTATCTCTTCTAGTGGCATAAGTAAAACAATTTGTTGTTCAATTTAGAACCTTTTCAATGCTACTCTATCATTTTATTACTAGGTACTCTAACAAACCAGTACAACAACCAACATTCTCAATGTATCCTTCAAAGTGAAAAAAAAACTGTGAAAGAAAAAAAAAAATCATTGAGACCAAAACCTATCAATTAACATTGTGGCAGAAGTCTTAGATTAGTTGTGTCTCAGATTTTTAAACCAATAAACGTAAGACCAGAGACTTAAAAATCAATCTGAAACATGATGTGATGGCAGTACAGTGACTTTTTTCTTCTAATGTCATCCTCCTAAAAACATGAGTGAAAGATCCCTATTACCCTCTATTGTTGAAGAAGGGTCGATAAAAAGCCTGTATTTAAATGCTTGTATTATATTTGAGAAAATATTTCTATTATTTCTATTCATATTTCCTGACAATGATCTATTAACCTCTCAATACACAAAGGGAACAGTAGGCAACCCTTGCTATTCAGTCATACATTCTGACAGCCAGAAGAAGGACATCTTACAGGCCACAACTTTTCACTAAGACATCCAGTAAAAAAAAAAACCAACAGAGACAAACAAGAGTATTTTTCACTGTTACCTGAAGCATGTGAACTAATACCGTGGCTGCTTTGTCGGGATCTGGATTTTGTGGGTGTGTGAATAGAAGTCTCGCCAAATCCTGATAAAGAACCTGTATTCTGCTTCAACTCCAAACCAGAAAGTTCTGTCAGACTAGACGGTACTGGAAGATATATCTGCTTATTACGCACCAAAGGACTTAATACTTTTTGGTCTCCTGTGCAGGGAACAAAACCAAACTGCAGACTTAAATTTACTCCATAATAAGTTGCATAATATCCCTAAAAAATAAACCTCTTCTGAACAACTGTTGGTCATTATTTTTTACCAGAATGAGTAAAGAATTGCCATAATAATTAAATTGATCTGCTATCATAATCAATCACTGTTTTAATATGACAGGAAAGCAGCAGCAGTGTGACAAGAAGTGTTGTGTTTCAAGGCTCTTCCAGACTTCACCACAGATAGCAGTGGGATCACCAATTATCTTGCTTTTCAAAGCCAAGAGCACAGAAGCACAACAGGAAAACTCTCTCTCCATATCAGGGTTCTGAATCAGAAATTAATTTTGTCCAAATACATTAAAGTTCCAAACATCCAATAAAATGTTACAACAGACAGCTGAGTAGCTTGTGGATGAATATTTAGTAGGGCACTTGATAGACTGTGGCTTCACAGGCATAAGGATGTTCTTCCATGGACAGAATGAGGGGCAAAAAGCAATGAAAAAAGCCATCTGCACTAGGCAGTAAAAGGATGGTGGGTTCAGGACATGATTCAATGGTAATTATATTGAATTACTGTAGCCAGTTAGGAAAGGAGGTCACTCTTACATATACATTACTTCATATTTTATTTCTTTACTGTTCAGTTAATAGAAGGAGATACAAATGACAAACAAACCAAAGCTTATTGAATATCACCTTGCCGTCCTGAATAGTTTTTTTCCAGATCATGCTGCAGAAGTCTGTTGTGGAAAGATGACTGTTCTTTATTGATCCTGAATTCAAACTGTAACACAATATTTAAGACAAATGTTACAAGTTTTAAATGCAAGTAACATCTTTACACAGACAAACACAACGTTAGTTACAACTACAGTTCTCCAGAAACTCTGCAAATGCTTTTAAAAAAAAGTAATTCCTCCAATAAAGAGACTATTTCTATTAAGATACTATAATTGAAAAGTTTCAGTTAGAAATTGAAATGAAAATATTGAAGCTACCAGCACATTCATCTGCAGTTGACCAAATGAAAAAAAAAAAAAAATCCCACCCTATAAGGAGTACTGCAATTACAGGAGGAAGAGAGGTACAGATGGAAGCATAATAAATTATATATATATTTATATATATAGTTTATGGCAGGCTGTAGTACTTTCCCATGTTTTTACTTTATGTATCTTGAATAGAATGAAATAAATTATCAAGAGATTATCAGATATTATATTAAAAGTCCATATATTAAGTCAACAAACTACTACTGAAAGGCAATTCCTATCTGAAAGGATACAAATTGGGCTGTACCATACAACCACGTTAATTAATATAACTATAAAAGGTAATAATTACTGGTTTGCTTTTATCTGTTATTGATGAGGTCTGGATAACGAGCTGAAGACCACAATTATTAACCTGGAAGTTGGAAGAAAAAGAAATACAACATTACAGTTTTCAAAACCATGTATCAATACAAAAAGTTGAAGGTAACTTTTTTTAAAACAATAAAGGTATTTGCAACAGCAAAATCTGCCAAGAAAGGAACTATTTTGCAAAACAATCATGAAGAATACATCACAGCACTGAGCAACATTAAATTAGTTTTTAAAAAAACCCACTATTCTTAGCTTTTAAAATATGCTGAAAGCACGACTTTATCCTCATTATGAGGAAAATAATTGTTTACATTTAAATAAGAGATTTTATTTTTGTTTAAAGGCAAAATGTGCTGATTTTTTTAATTGTATTTATGTGACAAGACAAAGCACCTACCCGCTAGATAACCGGAACGTTTAACACAAGTATCTAAGCGAAGGGCTTGTATCTCCACCTGGCCGCAAACGGGAGGCACCCCGGTACGGCCGGGGAAGGTTCCTCGCGGCCCGGGGAGGACCGAGCTCCCCTCGAGCCGCGGCGGGGCCGCAGGACGGCCGCAGCGTTTATGTCACCAGGAAACGACTGGCCCCGCACCGAAGAGCCACGTCCCGGCTTCTCCGTGTAGAGCCTTGGGGCTGCGCGGCTGCGGCCTGACTACAGCCTTCAGCCTGAGAAATCCAAAAGGTTACGCTGGGGTAAGCCTGGTTCTAAGTGCCGAGGATAAAACTGGGAAATAAAACCGAGTGAACAAGGACATGGTTTGCTATATGTTGTTTTGGTATAGCACCACTCTGTAATTCTGCACAGTACTTAGAGACAAAACATTTCCCCACAAGAACTTATTGCAATAAAGGCCCCTTTCTGAAACCCTTATGATGCATTTTGAACTTAAGACTATTTCACTGTATCTCGGTGGACTGTTTCAGCTATTAAAGTGAAATTAACATTCATGTTTTCAGGATTAGAATCTGAAGTATTTCAATTTATCATGTAATTCATTCTTCAGTCAGGGAAGAGCTTTAAATACTATCTGAACCCAAACTGCTAAACGCAGGTTGGATCTTTGAGTCACTGCTTCCTTTGTGGCATCCTTGGTTTAGTCTGTATGATTAATCTGAACCATACTCCACGGTATTGCTTTGGTGTCTTCTTAAAAATTTGGATGGACAAAATGTAAGTCTGCACTTGGGCCAGTTGTTCCCATCACTGAAGGTCCTGAGTCAGACGTGCTGGCACAAACACATAGTGGGAGTACTGCTCTGCCTCAGTGGGTTTGGCTCAGGTTTTAATGTGCCTTAAGCTATGAAATATTTTGTTTATGAAATATGTTTACACACATCACTAACCAAATCTCTAGTTCTCTGCTAATGGAACAGCATTTTGTAGTAAGTGCTAGGTAGGGCATCACTTAGCTATTGATTTCCATGGGAGCAGACAGGCAAGTCCAAAATACACATTCTAGGAGAGAGTACATCCAGGGACTGCGGGTCTGATTTTGTATTTGTGTTCATAGGACTTGCTTGCCTCCCTGGGGAGGAACAAGGTCAGGACCAGTATAAGCAAAGAACTATAGTGTGCCACAGCTAACCTAAATGATGTTTGAAAGAGATATTTCACTATGTCTCATGACCCCTGTCAAG